CCCCCCCCCCCCCCCCAGGAAAATCAGGCTCTAGTCCCCAGTCTCGCCTGCTCGCCCTCTCCAGGTTTCTGGGCCTCAGACGGGGGACAAAACGTGCCCCGCTCAGCCACGTGGCCGGGCACCGCCAGGAGGAGACCCCCCTGGGCCCCGTCCCGCGCCCTGTTTGCTCCAGGCGCTGCTGTGTTCATAGAATCATTTGGGTTGGAAAAGACCTTTAAGATCATCGAGCCCAACCGCGGTGGATGGGGTAGAGGAGACCGGAGACCCCCCTGGGCCCCGCCCTGTTTGCTCCAGGCGCTGCTGTGCTTATAGAATCATTTGGGTTGGAAAGACCTTTAAGATCATCGAGCCCAACCGCGGTGGATGGGGTAGAGGATCGGTTCGGGGTAGTCGGGGATAGAAGGAGGGAAGAAAATTGAGGGCTGCCACCTTTTCAGGTTTTGAGGGAAATGTTTTTAAAGATTTGAGTAACTAAAGTGAGTCTATTCAACAATTTTTTAATTTTTTTAATGTTTTAATCTGCTTTTCTGTTAAGTGGTGCAGTTCACAAAGAAGGTTGTTATGCAGTCAGCTAAACACTTGTTTGTTATTAACTGCATTCTTCTCCCTTTATTTGTCTGTCTTCAGCCTGGCAGAAGACAAAGGGTGAAGTGAAAAAGGTTGCGCCTTGAAAAATCAAGGGTAAGTGGTGCTTAACACAAAGGCTGTCCAAGTAAGTTTCAGGCATCTTATCAACTCTCGAAGTGGTGTGTTACATTTAGTATCTCCAGGTGCACCAGATACCTTTGTAATGCTACTTTCTGTGTAGGTGATGTAATCTTGTTCTTATAAATACCTGTAAATACCACCTTTTTCAGTCTTTGTGGGTTTTCTTTTTCAGCCTGCCACAGGCGTTGCAAAGGTGGCTGCTGTGGCATCTTTGTGTCATTAGGTGGCAGAGAGAGACAGGCTATGTTCTACGCTCGTTTGTTCTGAAACCCGTGAGCACTCAGAGTGATTGATAGCCTGACATTATTTATAAATAGGTTGGTTAAAGATACCTTTGTAATGCTACTTTCTGTGTAGGTGATGTAATCTTGTTCTTATAAATACCTGTAAATACCACCTTTTTCAGTCTTTGTGGGTTTTCTTTTTCAGCCTGCCACAGGCGTTGCAAAGGTGGCTGCTGTGGCATCTTTGTGTCATTAGGTGGCAGAGAGAGACAGGCTATGTTCTACTCTCGTTTGTTCTGAAACCCGTGAGCACTCAGAGTGATTGATAGCCTGACATTATTTATAAAGGTTGGTTAATAGGAGACTCTTGAGAAACTAAGCCTTTTTTTTTTTTTTTTACTTGCCTTAAATGTGAGATTGTATGTAATAGAATAGGAAGGTGTTCTGTTTGACCTGTGGTGGATGTGCAGCAGAAAGGCTGTGCGTGGCTTTCTGATGGTTTAGCCTTGAAAACGGTAGGATCCTGTTGGTACGTAGACTTGTGTTACAGAAGAATGAGCTGAAGTGATCTGTCTAAAGCCACGCGGCAAGTTGGTCACATCACTGGGAGCGCGTCCTGGGAGTCGCATGCTGGCAGCCCCGACCCTGTTCCTATCTGAAAATAAAAACATGCCTGTGCTACGCATTTATTTCTTTAGCTTCCCTCTCTTACTGGGCCTTTCAAATTTCTGTCGTCAGTGAAACAATAACCTTATAACCAGGCTTTGAAGCACGTCTAAATATATAACATAAATGCTGTATATATTTTCCACTTCTTTTCCAGAGAAAGCCGTGTGACGTGGCAGACTGGGGAGCTCTTCTCAAAGACCTGAGGTGAGCAGTAGCGGATGCGAGTTCCCCTGTTGATTAGCTCCATGCCCCAGCTCGTGTTGCAGATGTGGCTGTAGTGCCGCGTTTGTGTCATTAGGTGGCAGAGAGGAAAAGGCTGTGTCTTCACTAGTGCTCTGAGACCTGTGAGCACTCAGGAATGATGAGCAACCTGACAATTATTTCTTACTTTCACTTTTTTTTTCTTTAATATTAAATCGTGAAGGATGAACAGCTGTGGAGGGACAGGGTAGAGAAGCTAGCCCTGTCCTTCAGTGTGGCAGACAGTTATTCTCTTAATGAATACCTTGTTTATGTGACAGGTAAGAGATACAACTGATTTTTCTGCCATCGCGTTCTACGTTTTAGAAGTGAAGCTCCTATGTTTTACTAACACGCTAGCTATGTTAAAAGCTAATTCAGGTTTCTTGTATATCATACCTTTTATTGTTGTGGAGGAATGGCAAACTCCAGTATTCTTTACTCTTAATAGTCCTGAGTCCTTGGAGATTTGCTCTCCTGACATGTTAACATCATTAAGGGGCAGAGATGAAGTGGCTTCCTGTGCCTGAAACTTGCAACTGCTGAGAGATTAGTAGCTTGGCATTGTTTCCACGTGTACCTCTTTCTCCAGAGAACCAGCAGAAGATGGAGCAAATTTCCTTTGAAAAGCAGTTAAAATGATGCCAATTTTAACTGCATCAGGGGAAGGTCCTTTCCGTTTGGTTTCTTTTTTTTTTTTCTTTTGCAAGGACAAAGAGAAGTGACAGCTCTGTTGAGTTCTGTTCTTGCCTTCAACAATCCTTTATGGCCTGGAAGACATCCTTGCTTGCTGCCTGTTCTGTCTGAAAGGGCACCTCTTGAGTTTTGCAGGGTTTCGATATCAAGAATTCCACCTGGGAGTGGAGGAGATGGTGGAAACAGGCACTTAAGTTTGTTGTTTCCAAAGTATTGGCATGATCTAGAAACAGTTGGGTGTGGATTTAGCATATGGAGAAAATTGCACCCTGTTCCCAACGTTAATAAAACACTCAGCCAACAACATCTTGCCCGAAGAGTTGTGGTGAATGGAGTTCAATCCACTTGGCGGCCGGTCACAAGTGTTTGCCAGGGCTCAGTATTGGGGCCAGTTCTGTTCAATATCTTTATCAAT